GCTCCGCCGGGAGTGCTGCAGCAAATTGCAGCGAAGGTGCGGATGAAAGGTACGACTTGCTCCGAGCAGCGCGCGCGTTGGCGCCATGCGTTGCCAGGTGGACTGAACAGCAGGATCTAGGAGTTTCCCGTTTCATATGTTACATCTGGCGACACTGCGTTGCCGCGCGGTGTCTTGGGGTGGAGGCGAGCCCGCGGAAGTTTGGTTCGAGCCAAGCGCTTATGCGGACCTGGCCAGCGATGTCAGAACACGTCGGAGCACGAGCGCCACCGCGCTGAAGTAGTGGGGGCCCAGCGCCCGGGCTGCGCAGAGCTGCGATTCAAGACAGACCGCTGCACCTCGCGGCGCTCTCGAGGCAGAGATTGCGTCGGCAGAGGAGGCAGCGCGTAGAGAACCTCCAAAGGCTGAGTTTATGGAGGACAACCAAGTAGAAGTATAGGTCTTCAAGGTCAGAGGGTCGCAGAAGCCCATTCATTTGCCGCGGGCGCGTCGGATTGATGCAACAGCCGTGGTGGAACAGCTTGCGCGTGGTATCATCGACTGGGCGTGCCGTCAGATGCCAGACCAAGCCGCTGACGTTGAAACTGAGAGTTTAAGCAGCCTACCTCCTGGGCCAAGGCGATCTACCTGATTCAAGTGATTTTTTCGACGGCGAGTAGCTATGACAGTTTTGTGGAGCGCTGATTTGACGGTGAGAATGCCCTGCGCGTCAAGTCCGGGAGGGTCTTCAAGCCGAGGCTCGGATTTAAATCATCTTGCGCCACTGGCGTGGGAACCGCTGGCAAGAAGGCAACGAAGGAGCCCGAGCGTCCAAACAATGCTCAATCCACGATTGAGACTAAGCCTCCCGTGAACATGACCAGCGCTAAAGGGTCGGAGCGTGCCGCCGCCGAGGTTTACCTCGGCTATGTCGGGGGCCCTGTCGCAGGCGGCGCCCAGGCGATGCGGGCCGCGGGAACCTCGAGAGGTCCCCATGAGGCTATGTTTGGGATCCTGTTCTGGTCCGAGTAGCAAGTTGGACAGGCCAGAAAATATGGTAATTGCAGCGTTGTGCGATTGACAGAAGAGCAGGGCATGACTACGGATGCAGGACAAGCATGCACTTTGGAAATTGCAGACGACCACCGCGATTCCCGCCGCACGCTGCGGGGGTCCACTCCCGGTGCATAGGGGCGGCGACGAGAAGGCATGGAAGAGGCTAAGGTGTCACAGGACGACGGTCCGAAAATTGTCATGGGCAGTTCAGAAGCTTGCGGATAGAGCACTAAAGCATAAGAGCACCGTATGTTTAGAATGGCCGGCCTCCTGTCTGTATTGGCGTGATCTTCATGTGCGTGAGTGCTTGGTTCAGTATAGTGCGACCAGGTTAAAGTTGCATTGGCGCGCCTATTGCCTGACCAACTACGAAGTGGCAAAGTATGACAAATCGGTGGAGCAATGCTGCAGTTATGGTAGTATTGCAGAGGGGATTGCTCGGACATCTGATAGGGCGCATCGACGCGTCGAAGCGCGCGGGCGGGATTGCAAGACTGCTGAGGGTTACGCGGGCGAGTTTGCCAGACGCGTGCATGTGCCAGTTGCAAGTGCTGCTCCTTGGACTGCCGCCGTCGCCGCCGTTCTCCTAGCATCTCAGAATCTCCTCGCTCGCGCGCGCCCCCTGTCGCGTCGGCTCGCGGCTCGATGCCGCTCGGGCATCGGCGCCAGCGCTGCCCGCGAGCCTCCAGTTAGCCCTCGCGATTGCGCGGCCCCTCCCTTGACAAGTTCGCCGCGAGCTCCGCGGCCGCCCGCGCCTGGGCCAACGGCTTCCAAAATGCCCGGCGCGCGTTGGCCAGCCAGGCTCGCAAGACGCAGTGGGGGACGCGGCGCGCGTCGGTGCTGCGCACCGAGCGCCCCCAGTGAGGAAGCCAAGGCTTCCCGTCGACGAGATGCCGGCGTGCGTCTCGCGCGGCCACCTTCGCGGCGTCTGGGGAACAGTGGTCGCCCGTGAGTTCGACGCCCCGAATGTTTTCGGGCGTCTGCCCACTGCAGAGGTAATCGATGGCCCCGCCATACCTTGGGAGACGAAATGCATCGCATACGTGATGGAGATGCACGATCTGGTCGACTTGGCAGAGAGCGCCCTATACGAACCGGAGACCGAGAAGCGCTTCCAGGCCGGGATTCGCATCCGTTTCAAGCCAGGCAAGAGGGAGCATTACGATCCGATCAACCTTGGCGACTTCGCGGGCGAGAGGCTGCACGCGTGGATGCCGACGAAAGGGGGCGACGTGCAGACCGCCGACGATGGGAAAGTGCACGAGGAGAAGACAGGAGGCGAGTGGCGCCCCGTGTCGCCCCGCGGCATCAGGCGCCCTGCTCATCTCAGGTCCTCCGCCTACGCCCCAGCAGAAGTTGAGGAATCGATTGGGAAAATGATGCGCCAATTTCGATTGCCCAAGTTCACCGACCCAGATTACGACGCATTCAATCGGGCGTTTTCTGGCCTCCTCGCGGATGTCGTGCACAAGCCCAATTTTACGGTGCATGGGGGTGGAGCGATGCTCCCCGACGAAGGGCGGAGGGCCTTCCTTAAGTAAAGGTGGCATCGGAGCATGTGCCTCGAATCCCTGGTCGGACCATGAATGGCAGCTTCCCGAAAGCATAGCAATGAAGAAGGAGTTCTCTGCCATCGTGACCGCCAAATTGCGGGATGACCATGCCAACTGCTACTTCCGCACATGTCCACCGACCAGCGTGCTATGCTTGCTGATTGGTGGGTTCAAGAGGCCACGGACAACCTCTGGCGCAACGTCGCGACGGTGGCGCTCGAGGTTGTTTTCGCGTACCTGGCAAAGGAGAACCGCAGGCAGTCGAAGTATTGTGGCGAAAACAAAATCGTGCGTTTGCGCCTCGGGCTCAGGATGCGGGTCTTGGCGCCGACCTTCCGCGTGCTTACTTGATGGGACAAGGTTCGCTATGCCGCGCTTCACGAAGACCCGGGCCCCAGGTTCCCGTGGTTTTCTATGGTTGGTGGTACGCAATTGGCGCTTTCCGGGAGTATTCTGGAGGCTTTCCCAGCGCCAGCGGGGTTGTCGTGAATGAAATCGAGTTCTACGTGGCAGCGGCGGCACCGACCCTGGCGCCGATGCTGGTGCCTTCGCCAGCGCCGACGCCCGCACCATCGGTCTCGCCAGCGCCAGCACACACGCCCGCGCCGACGTCGGCACCGATCTCGGCGCCAACATCGGCGCCGGCGCCGGCCCTTACGCCAGCCCGTACGCCTGCAGCGACTGCTGTTGCAGTCGGGGATCCCCACCTGGTAAACATGCACGGGTAGCGTTTCGATTTCTTCAAGGTCGGCAGACACTTGCTGGTCGAGGTCCCTTTTGCTTGCAGCGGAGAGCGCGACGCTCCTGGCCGTCGCGGCCGTGGCACAGCGTTTTGGCGACGCCTGGTGGGACGCTTCTGTCCCTTAATGCTAACCGCAAGTGGGCGGACGGCTTGCGCGATGGCGGCCGTCGTTGCACGACCAAGCAGCCGCAGGCCCACAGCAAAGGAACGGGTTGGTTGAGTTTCCGCAGCATTCATTGAAGATCCTACGAGGCCGTACTGGCGGAGACATTTATTACCTGAGTATGTTCGTCAAAGATTTGGGCAAGTCGTTTTATCCAGTTGGCGGTTTGCTCGGCGGTGGGGGCCATTCGTCAGTGGCCATGCCCGATTCGCGTTGCAAGCGCGAACTCGCCCTGTATGCGGACTCCGTTTCACGAATCGTTTGTTTTGGTGTGTGTGTGTGTTGACACCATGGCGCCGCCAGTTTTGCCACGGCTCTTGTTTAAAGTCTCATCCGTGGGGTGTGTGTGTGTGTGACATCCCACAGCTCCCACAGGTCCCACGGGTCTCAAGGTTTTCGCATGCTTCGAATGCCCCGCCAGTGCCACAGGTCAGCCACCTTTGTTGTCATCAGGGTGCTTGGCTTGAGTCTGCTTTGGCAACATGGGCGCGCGTAGTCGCTTGCACTGCGCGCAATGCACGAGGGGAAACGCTGTTCAATAAATTTGGAGTCCCGCCCGTCCTGGATTATTATGTGAATTTGCGGAGGCGCTGTTTTCCATCGCGGTCAGTTAAGCTTAGTTGATCAGGCTTAATAACTCTTAGTAGTCCTGGCGAAGGCCTCCCAAGAGATTCCTCCGATGGTATGTCGACGGTTCGTCAAATTCGAGATGTATTCCAGCAGTGGCGCATCGTCGAGAGCGTTCCAGGGGTACCCGTGTCGTCCCGAGCGGCCGTTTCAGACCCAAGTTGTGGCTCGAAAGCCGAGTGATTGTTTGCCGGAGTGACCTTTGGTGCGCGGCTTCTGGTTGGCGCGGGGGGGGGCCAGAGATCATCCAAGCACGCAGGTCGCTACTGCCCCCTCCGTTCCCATCGCCGCCAACGACGCCCACGTGGAGTCGATTAGTATCAGATGTTGTTTTCTATCCTCTGGCGCGCAAAAGTCTTACATTACCCAGGCCGTCCCCCCCCCAGTGGGTGACGGCAACGATCGTACGAGGGGGGGCTGAACCCCCATTCTTGCTGGTGCTCGCGCGCATACTTTGGCGATCTCAGCGCGCCCCCGCCTCGACGTGCCCCGTCCAGCCCCTGGGGTAACGCTCGTTACAGGACATTGTGAGCAAGCATCTCCTATTCGGCGGCGGGGACACGCCCTCGCGGTGCCGTCGGCGGCGACGTTGTCGTCCGTCGCCGGCGGCGGCCGCCGCTGGAGGCCGCCGCCTCTCACCGTCCGCCGCCGCAGCCCGCCAGCGGCGCGCCTGCCGCCGCCGCGGCTGGAGGCAGCCGCCTTTCGATGTCGCTCTGCCGTCGGGCGGCGGCCCGCCGTGGCCCGCTGCCGCCGACGGAGGCCGCCGTCGCTGTTGTCTTTCATCGCTGTTGCCGCTGGGCGGCGGCCAGGCGTCGCCGCCGCCGCCACCGCTGCCGCCGCCAGACGGTGCTGTCGCCACCGCCGCCGTCCGCCGCCCGAGGCGGGAGCCGCGGCGGTGGCGCCCTCGGCGGCGGCCAGCGCCCTGGCGGGCGGCGGCCGGACGAGGCGCGGCCATGCTTGCTGAGGCTGGGCGCGGTGCCAGGCGCGGCGGGCTCGGCGTACGTGGAGCAGGTCGGGGAAGGGTGGTCCAGAGGGGGAAAACCCAGGTCTGCAATACATTGACAAACTCAATGCGGAGGTTTTTCGTCGTTCTCGGCCTTAGGGGGCCCTCGCCGGGTCCCGGGAGCGCAAACAATTGCCAAGGATGCAAGCTTGGCCCTGCGGAGCGGGTCGGGTTTTCCTGTGACCCGTCTGGAAAAACATGCGTCGGATCTCTGGGAATGTACCGATACCGCTGTTCGTCCTGGAGAGCCCTCGTCGCCACGGCCGGATCCTCGGAATCCTTGTCAGCATGTACCCCTGGAGAGGACCGTGGAGCAGCGGTATCGATGAAAGTCCCGTTGCCCAAGCATGGGTCCAGGCCTCCCACGTGGGGCTGTTGCAGATGGTGTCGAAGGATCGTGCCGCACTTCCGATGCATCGACGAAACGGCTCGATGTGGAGCCATATATTCTCCACGCTGGCGGCGACGATGCATCGCCGACGTCGCCGATGCATCGGAGATTCATTGGCGATGCATCAGAGATGCGGCGCGATCCTCCAACCACATCTACTCGGATCCTATCCGGGAGGCCTCCAGAAGAGCGTTACAAAGTGACGAAAGATTTGTATTCCTTGGTGCGATGCCGGCTTTCTGCCCTACCACCTGAGATCTGGGACACCAGGCGCTATCGCCCGGTCTCTCGGGGGTTGCCAAGAGGTGTTTTCGACCCAAAGTGTGCCCAGCTTTTCGTGCCGTTTTCAAGACCCTGGAGCCTTCTGGGCCTCGTGAGGGATGCTTTGGATGCCGAGGGGTGCTCCAGTGCACCTTGCGCCCGGGATGCCTCTGTCAACACCCGAGTCTCGGGCCCGGGGGCCCTCACGGATCGATCAGGCTGGAGAGATGCCGCAGGAGCTTGGGGGGTCTAATGTTCGGGTCGCGATTTTTTCCCAGTGCTGTAAATTTTTCTCGTCGTCGGATCTCGGGGCCTATCGGCGGCGCGCATGCCTGGGTGCCCCGAGGGGGGGCGGCCTTCTGAGAGGTCCAGGGGTGCTTCTCAGGAAGCAGGAGGCTTTTCGGAAGCCGTCCCGGCCTCCTCAGCAGCCATCTTAGAAGGCTCCGCCTCGCGCCACCCTCGCGCGCAAGTCGGAGTCCCACCAGTCGTAGCCAACTAGATATTCTGCGTCTGTGTTGCTGCTTCTCCGCGTTGCGCCTCTACTGTTGAAGCGGACTCCTCGCTGATTTTAGCCCGGCCTCCGCCTGGGGAACCGATCTTCCTGGAGGCGGTTGGTGTGGATGTAGGAGAGAGCGTGATCCACCTCCGCTTTACTATGGAAAATTGCCCCCCTCTTCCTCCGGAACCCGGGGGTCCCCCCCCCCTCCGAAAATCCCCCCCTCACCCCTGCTGGACTCCCCCCCCCTTCCATTCCCCCGGCAAAATTCCCCCCCTCCCCTAATCCATCCCCCCCCCCTCCCCCTCCAAAAAGGGAGGGGTTACTACCGGTTCGAACCCCCACCCCCCCCTCGAAAACCGGAGGTCACTACCGGTTCGAACCCCTCCCCACCCCCCCCACTCACCGCCAGCAAACGACTCCCGGTCCCTACCACCGTCCGCGCCACATCCCCCACTGTTGTTCCCAGCGCCACTGTCCTCACCACCACTGTCCCCACTGGTTCCACCAACGTCCCTACTGTTCCCACCAGTGCTCCCACCACTGTCGCACTGTCCCCACTGTCCCCACCACTGTTCCCACCACGGTTCCACTCTCCCCACTTTCTCCACAGCCCCAACCACTGCCCGACTATCCCCACTGTCCCCAGTGTCCCACTGACTCCTCCGCTGTCCCACTGAGCTGTCCCACTGTTCCCACCACTGTCCCCACTGTTCCCACCACTGTCCCCACTGTACCTCTGTTCCATTGTCCCACCGCCGTCCTCGCCACCGCCTTCACCACTGTCCCCACCACCACTGTACCCTCCACTGTCCCGCTGTTTCCACCTCCCACTGTCCCCACACCACTGTCCCCACCACCACCGTCCCCACCGCTGTCCACTGTCCCCACTGTTCCCACCATTGTCCTCACCACTGTCCCCACCACTAGTCCCCACCACTACAGTCCCCACCACTGTCCCACTGTCCCCACCACTGTCCCGCTGTCCCCTCACCACTGTCCCCACCACCACCGTCCCCACCACTGTCCGCACCCCCCTCGGTTTTCGAGGGGGGGGGGGTTCGAGCCGGTAGTGACCCCCCCCGTTTTCGAGGGGGGGGGGCGTCGAACCGGGTTCGAACCGGTAGTGACCCCCCCCCCCCTTTTCATGATGAACTGGGAAGGGGGGGGGAGGGGTTCGAACCGGTAGTGACCCCCCCCGGTTTTCCGCCAGCAGCGGTAGAACACGCTCTTTCGGATGCGGGCATCCAAGACGACTTCAGAGAAGGTCTAGACGGGGGCCACGAAAGGATATTCGAGCCCTCGGCCCCGAGAGGCCCCCAGGAAGCTCCTAGGGGCCCCAAAGAACCCCCCAAGAGGCCCGAAGAGGCCTTCCGTAGCCATTTTGGCTCAAGTACGACATCTATCAAGCCAGCTGGGCAGGAGCAGCTTCTTCAGCTGGTCCAGAGGTGGTCTGCCCAGGCCAGGACTCAGCAGCTTGCACGCTTTTCTCTATTCCTTTCCTCCCTCCCACTGCACAGCGGCCGCCATGCCTGCCGCCGACAGGTCCCGATCATCGGACTCGACGGGAAGCAGTGAATCCAGACGCAGGGACTCCTCGTCCCGCAGCCGCTCTGGCCGCTCGGATCCTGGCCGCTCCGTTGGCACCAAGAGCAAGCGCCCGAAGGCCTCCGACGGCGAGAAGCTCGACGAAGTGCTACGCGCGCTCCGAGGTTTCGGCTCGCAACTCTCCACGCAGTCCTACGACATTGGCCTCATCAAGAACCAGGTCGCTGCACAGACTGTTAGGTGTGATCAGCTCACGGTGAATATGACCACCCTCACCAATGACATTCAATCGAAAGTCGCTCAACTCGAAGGCCAACAGTCCGCCATGTTCACCGACCTGAACGACCGCTTCACCACGCTCAAGGGTGAGGTCCACACGCAGATCACGAATGAGCTCCGCGCCCAGGAAGCCCGTACAGCCGTGCCTATCTTCGACATAGACGACGAACAGGGTGCTGAGGTTCACGCCAAAATTCAACAACAGATTGCCGAGATCAAGGCACAGTTACGCACTATTTCGACAGCCCCCTCGGTCTCCAGCTCGGTCGAGGCGCAGCAGGACAACACTTGCACGCTGGTCGCGATCGGCTTCCCTCGCAAGATGCTCGCCCGCTCCCTGAAGACGATTGCCGACGCCATCAAGTCGCAGTACGCCCCGCAGGATGTCCAGGCTCGGATCACCGCCAAATGTTTTGACATGGCCAAGAAGATCACCTTCCACTTCGAGAGCGCCTCAGACGCCACGAACTTCCTGACGAACTACAGTCGCGACGGGGTCTTTCGCCATCCTGACCCCCTCGCCCCGCAGAACATGCTCAATGTCAAGCTCAAGAGAGACCAGGACATCAAAGGCCGCCAGCTGTTCCTCTCCATGGGCAAAGTGCGCGCGCTCGTATCCAACCTGTTGGCTCCCAGGGGCATCGAAGTTGGCAGCAATGGGTTGGGAGGGCTCGTATACGCCTTGAAGTCAGAGAATGAACCCATCGAGATTGCCCAGATCCAGGTCTCGGGTGACGACCTCGCGATTTCCGTCGAGCTCGACGCCGCTGGCCTGAGAGAGTTTGGGTTGGAGACCCAGGCTGCCGCCATCCGCGCTGCTGCGCTTGTGCCCATCAGGCGCCCCTTTCGACGCTGATTCTGACTGCACTTCGGGTGGCCAGGAGGCCACAGTGACACGCACACGGGGGGCGCGGTGCGAGTGGGGACTGCCCGGCGGTGCGCCGTTAGTGACCCTCGCACCGTTGCTCCCCGGCCCCGCGCACGGCGCGGAGAGTTCAACTCTGCCTCTGGCTGGATGGAACACAGTGACACGCACACCTCCATCTTTTTCTTCGCACGAACGTGGTGAGGCCTTGTCTAATAGTCCTCCCTTTTCCCCCTCTCCCAATAGTCTTCCCTTTGTCCCGAAGGCTCCGCTTACCATCTGTTCGTGGAATACACACGGTTTGTTCAGCTCTGTCAAACGTTCAGGATGGCGTGCCAGCGCACGCTACTCACTCCTCCTCTCGCTCCCTCGCAGATTCGCTATCACGTGCTGCCAGGAAACACACGGACACATAGGAGATATCGGAGAGCTCCATCGCGAGCTGGGCTCGGCTTCCTCGGGCTGGTCGATTGGATCCTCGTTCTTCCCCGACTCTCAGCGTGAAGGAGGGGTCGTCACGATCATCAGTAGCGAGTTTAGTCAGCTGTTCGACACTATTACACATAATCCGATTATTACTGGTCGTATTCTCCATAGTCGTCTCTCTGGTCTGAATGGGTCCATCAGTATATTCAACCTCCACCTCCCTAACACGAGTGACTCTGTTGCCACGTTCTCCCGCGCGCTGTCATTGCTTCGGTCTGAATTCCAGAAGTACCCGAACGATCATAGGATCTTGATTGGGGACTTTAACTTTGTGCCTGAGGAGGAGGGACGTATGCTGTATGACGGGTCGGGATGGAGAGCAGGTGATCGCGCTCAGGCCAGGCTTTTTCAACGACACTTTCCTCACCTCACTGAATTTTACCAAGAGCAGGACACTAGGCGGGAGGTCAGGGATGGGGTCATTACTCTTTCGGCACGTTTGGATCGGGCGTACACCTCCCTTCCTCAAGCCATCATACGTGACCTGGACATACGCTGTGGCGTCCTGGGCAAGCTCAAAGCAAAAATGGCTAGCGATCACATCCCGATTTTCATCAATATCGAGCCCTTCAGGCCCCAAGATGGCCCCAAAAACATCCCGAAGTGGATCTCGAAGCACCCGGAATTCCAACGGTTCCTGGAGGCCGCCATTGCAGATATGTCCACGGAGCTAGGTCCCTGG